GAGAGATTTCCAATGTGCTGCAGCCAACAATAAACCATGGACATATTTTCATATTCGATACGACACATGCAGAATTAGTTACCTATTGTCGTTTTATAACTTTCCCAGCGGTGAGCATTAATTTCGGGGAGAAAAAAAAATCAAATGTACTACCTCAAAACAACTTAGTAGGTGTGTATTCGGATAGACAGGCTGTATGCCTGTATATTATAAGTATTTCGTCCGCAGCATGATTACGAAAAACGTATTTCGTGCTTATGCAGCGTATACAATTTAATATTATACTTTCGACCGAAAAATATAACTGAAAACAAGTAAACGCGCACGAAAGTCTTTGCACTGTTCATGACCGGTATTCGATTAAAATAATACGCAATTATTATCTACATGTAAAATACGTCTATTTTGGACGAAATCGTCGAGATTGTACTACGCATTATATTATAATACACCAACGTGGAGATTAATGCAACTGCAGTGAGNAATAAGAAACACAGTTTCGCAAAATGTAAAATACGTCTATTTTGGACGAAATCGTCGAGATTGTACTACGCATTATATTATAATACACCAACGTGGAGATTAATGCAACTGCAGTGAGAAACACGATCTTCCTGCGTGAATTTTGAAGATTATTTAGCAGATAATTTCGGATATTTGGTGCATCATTTTTAAGACTCGTGCACGCGCGAATTACGACGACTGTTCATATTAGAATAATAAATTACATTCTATATATCTGTCAACAATAGGTGGACATTTGCGGATGATAAATCAAAACAGTGCCATATACAGGATGATGATTAATCAAGCATATTACTAACCTTATTTTTTCTTCTTCAATATTCAGTTATTTACAATCTGATTTTTACAATTTTTAATTATACTATTTAAGATCATAATTTCAAATTCTTGAGACTATTTGTATTACAAATTTGGAGTGTTCTGTGTAAATAAAAACTTCATTTTTCTAAATGAGAAGCCACCCCCTCCCCTTTCAATGAATAATTTCTCTGAAAAACTCATACTAGTGGTTTTTGAATTATTTAACTTAATTTTTCTTAAGTTCGAAGGATAAAAGGTCCATATTAATGGGATGATTTTATAAGATATAGAGGCTGTAGAGATAAAAAACTTGTTGTCACTTATATTAATCTATTAATATTTATAATTTGTAAAAATGGGCCAAGTATAATAAATACCTACTAGTTTCAGTATTACGTCAATTTTTTTTTTGTTTAATTATTTTTAAGGACTATTAGCATTAGTACAAACATTTTAATAACATAGAAACTACGCTTTCGAATTTTAAATTATAGGCACACAAACATTTTCAAAAAAATTATCTACTAAATAATTTACGATAAAAATAGGGAGGGGGTTATTTGAAAAATAGAAGTTTATATCGTCACAGGACACTTCATAAGTAGGTATTACAAAATAATTCAAACATTTAAAAAAAAAAGTCTGAGTATTTATATAGGATGTCCCATGAAGCCACGAGGATTTACCCATTGTGATATCTCTCGAAATAATGGAGATATCAAAATTCTGGTTTTGTAATAAGACTCACATGGATAAGAATTACAATTATTTCATATTTTAATTTATTTTAATGTTTTAGTAAAAAGTTAAAAAAAAATATTTTTTTTATTTGACGTTTCAAAATTTTATTTTCGTTAATTCATGATTTTTAATTTTTTTTTTTTTAGTTTCGAGAAAATTTGCAAACTATTTAACACCGTACCTAGTGTTATCAAAAATGTGATACACACGCACGTGCTCGTATGGCCGGCTGAACGCTTTCAGTGTGTATAGTTATAATCATATTTTATCTCTTCAAAACTTGAAAAAATATTAAAAATCAGGAAATTAATGAAAATAAAATTTTGAAACGTCAATAGTTGCAATAACTCTGCAAAATGGYTATCTTTATATTTTTTTAGAAATAATTAAATAAGAAAATATACTTTTCAAATTTTTACCAAAGCATAAAAATTAATTAAAAATTAAATAATTGTAGTTCTTATCCCTGTGAGTCTTATAACAAAATCAGAATTTTGATATCTCCATTATTTCGTGGGATATCGCAATAGGTAAATCCTTACGGGACACTCGGTATATAAAAATTCCAAAAATCAGAGTTTGAACAGGGATGAGCATGATGCATTGCACCCTATATATATATATATATATACTGCTTATTACAACGGTCATATCAAAATTAGTATATTATGTCATCATGTAGTACATAAAACGTAATAGCTTAAACGACGAACCTAATTATTATGTTAATATTTTTTCATGATTTTTTTAAATGATTGTATTCTTACTTATGATAYATCCAAGCCAACAATGATAATAGGTGCGGTATGTCTTTTTTTATTTTTTGAACAACAATGTGACAATAATGCTGTGATATTATTTTAATTATTATAATTTGTCTACTTTCTTCACGTTCTTATAAGTCACTGCAGTTGTACGTGTAATCGTATTATTTTAAATCATTCAAGCGATAATTACACATTGTTCGTCATAAAAATATATGTATTATTTGTTCGGAAATAATAATATAGAAAGTTTTTTTTTCCGAGAATAAATATATATTTTGAACAAATTATTAATTATCGTGACGTTTAATGCGTTATTTAAATTCAGTTCATTTTTATTGCATTTCACAAACTTCAATATATAAGGTGTTTAATTTCTAAAATTATATATATATATAGTTAGGTAAATAATCTATGATGTGTAGCTTAACCCTCAAAACATGTTTTAGGTTAGATAATTAATTCGTAAAAATAACGTAACATTGTATGATATTTTACATTTAAAATAGGTAGGTTTGCAAGGATGATACGCCACCGTATGATATTACGAAAACGCATAATAATTTATGGTTTTCAATATAAATATATAATACCTACTACAATTCTATATTTGATAGTAGATACATTGACTGTCGTCGTCATACGTAAATACGCAATAGGTGTATTGACTATATTTTAATGCAATTTATTGTGTTAAATTATGGTTTGTAAGTATTGCAGACACTGTCTATAACCCGTACCGTATGGAAGGCATAATTAAAAGAAAAAAACGAACACTAGAAAACGATCATATCATTATGTCTATGTGTTTATCATTGATGTCAAAAAACATGATACTATTATAGTGCATTATAATACCTATAGTTGTTGCGTTAACCTTTTTAGATATATGGACAAATTATTATATCAAAAATGTTTACAATATAACGTTATATAGACGAGTTAGAGTATTAAATTGGAAGTTCTAAGGTCACACTTTCATAAGGCCCGCGGGCTAAGGAAATATATCGTCTGCGTGTCCAACTAATAATATGCTTATCTGTGTAAGTAATCGAGAAAGTTATTGGTCAATCAAAGTTCATATTAAATATAATACAGATCTGGGGTTAGTAGTAATAAATCTTATATACTTATAATTGTTTATAAATCTGTTGAATGTATTATATACCTACTATAAAGTATTGGTAATATATTGTTAAAAACACGGTGTGCTCTCGTATGTCATAACATTTATAAATATTAATTCATAAGTTCAGGGTTGCACTGAAAAATGTCTTGTAGTGTTTTGATTGTTTTGAACCATTTTTTTTTAAAGTTATTCAACTGAAGTTATTATTGTCACGTTTTATGATGAAACGTTTAGCAGTTAAAGTAAAATACCTATACGAAAATTACGGAACCTTTGACATTCTCTGTAAATGAAGAGCATTATTATCTATATCTTTGTTATAGTTCATATTTTTGTAAGTACAAAATTATAAATTATAATATTAATATTAATCTATCTATTTATCAAAATAATACGGATAAGATTTAATTCAAAGTAATAGGCATACAATGGGAAAAGAGAATTGACAAATTAACAAATCGAAATATAACAATATATGTAAAAATAATATAAGGATCAAACTTCATAATTCTTACAACTGGACCTTTTTTTAACTAAAGAGTAGGCACATCAAATTGAATTGATACATATATTATGTGATGGAAATGGAAACCACGATAGGTAGTTGAACAAAAGGCCAACAAAATAAAATATGAACTTTATGAGGTACACATCAATACATAATATAATATTAAATAATAATACACAAATACAAATTTTAAACACAATGTAGGTACTGCATTGTAAAAAAACTTTTTATCTATTTACTTATAGAGCACCTGCCTGTACTATATAGTTTGATTTCGAAGTCCGTCACCGACGGAGCTGAATCGAACTTTTAAGTCATTTTTTTAGATATAATAATATAAGTATATATTTAAATATTATCTAATGAGAAATACTTGATGGCAATTTTATGCCTCTTGCACTTTGCAGGCTATAGAGTCATAGCAGCGATATTGTGTGAATGAATATTATTTTAAGTCCAAGCACGCGTATAGGTATAGGTAACTAAGTTAGGTCAGGTTAATTATAGCCTACATAGTGGTGGAACGATATTTTTGAGTCATTAAATTAATAATTGTATATTTTAAATATTTTTACCTCTAACATCTTCTTTATTTTTGGGATTCGTACTACTATGTGTCTTTTTGCTTTAATAAATCGTGAAGAAAAAATGACTTGTCAGGACTTTAGGAAGGAGGGCACGATTAGATAATCCGGAAACCTCGCATTCAGTGTGCATCTATTATAGGCTTTTGAAATTTCACGAATTGGTGGTAGGTATAGGCACTAAAATGATTTAATAACAACGTAATAATTCGATTCGTAACACGTAAGATACACGTAGAGTACAACTTCTATTATGAGTGCACTGAGTGCAGTCATTTGTACATGGAGAATAATATATACATATAAATGTACAATAAATTCACGAGAGATGGGCCGTGGGATCCGGTGTTGTGCGAACCACCTGTATACAAGCGTGTACGCGTTTGTATATATATATGTGTATTTAAAAACGCAAGGTCTCTCTTACTTTCATCTCTCTCCCTATCGTCTGAGGCGGCGGCGTCTTCAGCTTTATTATATTTCGTTTTTCCTCTCCATCGTCGCGTTTGTCCTCCTCTGGTATCTGACGTCGCGTCCGTCGTCATCGAACACGACCGCCTTCTTGCGCCGTCAGTTACTGCTCATTATTATTTCCGCGACAACGATGAAGCGCAACACATGTCTGTGGGTGGTTCTCACCACTTACCTGGTCCAGCAATGTAAGTGAACAATTTTTATTATTATTTTATATAGGTATGCTTATTTATACATTATTGATTAACAATAGCGATGATAGGGAAATGAGTTATAGTTGTAATACCATATTTATCATGCAGGTGATATAGTTGAAATGACCTTTTGAATATTCTGTGGCGTGTCACATCGATATTATTTTCGTATAAAAAGCCTAGAAGTTGCTTCTCTGATATTCCTTCATCCTTGACTATTCCTGTAATAACATCTCGGATTGTAGGTCTTGCGGAAACATACATTACAGTGGTATTTCATTTTGCAGGAGACTTCAACGCCTCCCACAAAATCAAAATTATCACTGTCTTGTCTTATTATTCATAGTTTATATAAAATATACAAATTATTAAATACTTAGAAACCGATGCTATATATACACTGTATAATGTAGTGAATCAAGTTTCTTTTCGATATTATTTTACTAGTTAGTAGTTAGTACCTAATGCTTGTAATTGAAAGTTTATAAATCTGTATGTGTTTTTGAGAGTTCTTAAGACTTTTTATACACATACCTAAATCATGTTTTTATAACCTCTATAATGAAAAAAACAAAATTAAACTAATTTACACGATTAAAAAATAATAGGTTTAGGAAACATAAGTTTCCATTAAAATTTAAACCTACATAAAATTCAATTTTTTTTATCTTATGTTTTATATTTTTGAACCCGAAACTTGTGGTTATTTAACCTTGCAATAAAAAATATCAGTTAATTATTTTATACCTTCATTAACAAAGAATAATTATAGACTAGATTAATTGTTAAATTTAATATGAGATATTTTTTTTAATATTTAATGAATTTAGAAAAATTAAGTTAAAAGTTTAATTATTTTCAGTTTAAGATACATTTGTATTTCATAATATTATTAAATTGTAAAAAAGAAATTGGTATTTAAACAAACTACTTTATTTCCCATTAAAATATTTTAATAGGTATTTAATGCATTTTTATTTCATTTTAAATTAGCATTAACAATGATAATGGTTACCTAACCATTCTAATAAAGATTTATTCGCTGATGAAAAGAAATTTACCATGTTATATTATTTTATGATAAACGCACGCAGTAAATGGTTTTGTGTGGGATCTAGAACTTAATTTTTTACGTCATCCGGGTTAAGTAATACATGATGTGCGGTAATATTATAACATTAGCTGTCCGATGATGTGAACGCACAAAAAATTGAAACCGGTATAGAAACTAAAATTGTTGTTATTTAACTTAAATTCATAAGTGACAAGTTGTACATGTTGTCAATTCAAAAATATTCATGTAATCCTATACAATAATAGTGTAACGTGGTTACGCTTTATAATAATCATTTGACGGCTGTACAATATATATAGGCACTATATTAATATACCTGTGAAGGTACATTTATTCGTTAACAATTGATATCGACGTATTTTCGTTTTACATAAGGATACAGCTGTAAACTTCATTATCTATACCGACTGCGATGAATGTAGTAGTTGGGTAATTTTTTAAAAGCCGACCATGCAGAGGCGGAACTAATAGACGTCAATAAATAATTTTATTTAATATATAARATGAATTTCCGATAAACGTCATATAAGGTTCAAATTCCTATCAAGCATACATTAAAATAAAATTTATTACGTTTCATAGTATATAGCGATTCCGGATTGTCTCTCTCCACAAATATACACACACACACAAAAAAAAAATGTAAATGGTTTTAGATAACGTATTGCCCGCTGCAAGTAAAAACTAATCTATTATTACAATCACATATAATATATATATATAGGTTACTGTTGTTTTAGCTCGTAGTTATAAATAATATAAAAAATAATGCAGCTAAATAGCAGTGAATAGCACGTTTGATTTTGTCGCGTTCATTATTAATTATAAATTTTTCTATTAAATATCATTAAGGACATATTTTTGTATACGACAACAACGTTATTCTGTCAAAAATGCAAACTTTCACTTTCGACTGGTTTCGTTTAAATCGTTCCTGTACAGCACATTTTTACGTCATGTTTTTAATCAAAACCGGCAATTTCCTAGATCTCACAGGAATGCGGCGTACAATATAATCTTATGTGTATCATATATTATATCGGACACRTGTCACATGTGATATAGACTATAATATATAATAAACCTACAATGTTTTTTGTATAGATTAGACGTTAACTAACGCTAGAAATCCACTAAACAGTCCGTAACTAGGAAATGTCTGCAGCTGCAGCAGTTATAAAGCTACTCACCGTATACGTAATAATAATTATATTTTATGGTTATCAAAATATTGTTAACGATTCGATATCGTGGCGCAAACGCTCTATCCTAAATTTATCTGTATACGAGTGTTAATATTGTTGTTGTTCAAACCTATTTTACGTTCAGACAGTATTATAGTATAATATAGAGAATCAATCTCGACACCATAACGAGTTTATAACTAAGCCCCCCCCCCACACATCATATTTTTAGTTCTGGTATAGAACTAAATCCGGGACACGAACATTTTTCTAATGTATATTGAAGTAATTATTTGCATGAACGCTAGGCCGTTCAAAAGTCCAGATTCCACASTACCATGGTCTCTCTGACTCCCCACCCACTTTTGAGGGCCTTGACTACACCATCAATTGCGACAACGCGACGCCCCTAAACACAATCCAAAATTGTCGAAGTACACGATCAATTTTTGCTAACGTATAATACTTTGATAATAACTATAGTAAGTGAATATACGATTGTAATGTCTGTAGGTACTGCTATTATTATTGTGTAATAATCGCAGCGGAGGCGTCGTTGTCGCGACTGCCCGAAAGCATACCGTCGTCAACATAATATATTACATTATTATCGTCGTCGTCCTGTATTCTATACATTTTATAATATACATAACGTACTATTATCATCATCATCGCAACCGTCGTTGTTATATCATTACCGGAGGAATTGCGAAATTCGTACGGGTCCGCGATCGCRTGTGATTGTCGAATAATCGATTGCGAAGACTTGAACAATCCGGTTAGTTAGTTTTTAAGACTTGCTCGGTGTCTTTTTCACACGCTTGTCGTGAATGAGTTTTATAATTCGGTTTTTTCCCATCCGATTTTCAAATTGACCTCGTTGCACAACCGCGGTGAATAATATATAATGCGTATGTATTATAATATTTTATTAAGTAACTATAATATATACACGCGTATTCTCATCGTCACATCATCCCTCCATGCACACACACACACACACCACTCGTCATTCACATATTTTTAATATTATACTTTATTATCACGATGGGTTCACACGGGCCCATGCGAAATATATATTAATATATTAAATATACGAGTCWCAGAGACACGTCTTGCGTGGCGAAATTGCGATTCTGAATAATAATATAATGCGAAATATTATTGTACGAATAATAATGAAAACATAATTAAACGCGACGATGAGAGACGACTGACCGCGTCGTCCTCGACCTTTTATATATTCGCGCCCGCAGACCGCGTGCGGTTTTTATCTTTATTATTATAACATGCGTATAATACAGAGGTGCATCTTGTACCTACACATTGTTATTGTTGTTATTAATTCGCTTACAACCTTGGAAACGTTCTCCGAGACAAATCGAAAAAACTCCCTTGTCACATTACTATCTTGGTAATACAGGGCGTTTCACCTCGTTTGGTCTTGTTTTCCACGTSASTSGWTTKCCGATARTAAATTTTAAAATTTATATCTAATCATACATTCATATACTATYTGTCTAGCACGAGTTGAAAGATAAAATTWAAAAMAAAAATTCGATTGTTGTTGGAAAACWTAACAACACCGGCACGGTGAGCTTAATAATGATTCGATGGTCATAAAAACGAGATCGTTTCGGGCTAATGGAAATTAAGTTGACTATTAACTCAAAAGTGCAGTTTACTGTATGAATTGCAGCAGAGCGGTGAGAGAAAAGAGAGTATAATATACTACTACRGTACTTCAACAACTGTAAGTGAGTTTTGTAATCGAGCTCAGGTTATAGGTCGTGGTATATAATATAATTATATCGGTCGTTATTCAAATTATTTTTCCTCGACAGAGGAAATCGTTTTATGCCGTGATATCATCGTTTTCTATGATACTCGTTTATGGCACTTGTATACTGCCCGTGTGCAACCGAGACGATGGTCAAGATTTCACCGCAATAGTTTACCTTTATCTTGTACCAGGTTTTACTATATATTATTACAATTGTTATACACTAGAAAAACGGAAATTAGACTAGGTGTTCGGACCTCGTAAAGTTTTGACTTTTAGAGTCATTTTCGCACGACTCGTCTACGTGCGGATTTACAATAAAAAACTCATTATAATAGGTATTTATTGGTGTTGCATGTGTACAAGCAAATACCTGCAGGAGTACACTTACGTCGTATATAGTCTTGGTGCARTACAAAACAGAGTGATTCGCGTAATCGCGTACGCGTGCAGCAAACCGTGTAACGAGTGTGATGCAGTACTATGTTTTCCGGCGGGACGACGGAGACGAGCGAAATAGTGAAAGTTTCACGCGCTTTGAATTTTCTTACGATCGGCGGAGGCGACGGAATCAGTTACTCGGACGGTACAAGAATTACTAAGAAATTATATATGTCGTCGTCGTCTGTATCCARACGTAACTGTATACGGACCGAAGCTATATTACAACCCATGCAAGCAACTTTTACGAAACGGTCGAGTTTGTGCAGACATTACATTGTTTCCGTCGTGTATTTGCAGTAAAATTTAGATGTGATTATCGTGTTGTTGTAAAGTTTATAATATAAATCTATTTAAATAACATATTATTAATAAGCGTCACGGCGACGGCCTCGCTGGAAAACGATTTAGACGCGTGCTTGTGCGGGGGCGGTATTGTTGTCGCCATACTCTGCGTAATATATATATAAGACGATTTGTCACGCCGAAATTATTTGAGTTCTTTCAATTTCCCTGTGTCCGCCTTTTGTCCGCGATTATTGTCCCGGAGCTGTGTGTGATGCCAGAGATTCTTCACTTTTTCTTATAATAACAAGTCGATATACATATATATATATATACATCAACAACAATGATTACGACGACGATCATAATATAACTGAAGCTGTGGTAATGACGATACTTAAATATATACATATATATATATAATATACTATATATTGATATGATGAGAACTGCTGAGGAGAACCAATAAGATCGTAATAATAATAAAACGTTATTGTCAAAATAATTACCGACTGGCGACGGCAGTGATAATAATAATAATAGCCAGTGACAAAAAAAAAAAGATTATTAATAAAAAACGGCGCGCGACACGCCTTCCTCCGCCCTCACGTCATTGTGTTCGCGTGCAGCGGCAGCTTTCTATTCGGTATATATACACAGATATTATACGACCTATGTATCGTAAAACATTATTATCTAACGCGCGTACAATATAAATCTCATAACATAATGTATAGATCCATTGTGTACGCCAAGTCGACCGTTCGGGGCAGACGGTATAATATTATATTATGCGAAAGTTCAACGGCTTCGGATACGCTTCTGTATATGTATACTTGGCGTGACCCAGAGGCAGCGACGGCGGCGTAAACGTCTTCCAAGTATAATACTGTGGACTCAGACTCAGCCGCCGTCACCGCTTTCTAAACATTAAAAGGTATCGTACCTATATAAAAATATTGTAACGTATAGCGCAAGGGCATAAGCTGTTAATACAATCTATGATAGTCATAATAATAATAATAATAATCATAACTGTTGCGCTTATAATAGTACTACGTACACAGCGTACTATACTGTTTTGGAGGTACATAACTGTATACTTCACAAGGTATATATTATATATGTATACCTGTCAATGCCAGTTCTTGTATCTATCACTATAATAGCGTCCGAGTGAAATAATATAATATTATGTATATACACGCGACGGCAAGGTTAGGCGTGAGTGACGCAATCTGGTCATTTCTTCCTAAAAAGAAATAAAAATCGATCACGACGCGTATTTATAGTAATCTCGACGTCGTCATCACTGCTTTCACCGCGGGATCTGAAGCGTACATTATGTATCCATATAGGTATGTGTAAAATATTATACTTGGGCCGATCCCGAGAGTTGCGGCTTCTACTACAAGCGAGAATTTAATCGGTCGYGGCGTATAAAGGTCACACGCGAGTGCATATTGCACAACGTTCATGGTTGTCATTTCGGTTTGACCAAAAAAAAAAAAAACAACAAAATTCGAATCGACTACCTACCCTATTACAGCTTCACTGCATGCGTTCCGAGGTTCCGACTTCCCGACTTCCGATACTGCAGTGAGAAAAGTATGAAGTATCGTTCGAAACAAAAACCATGACAGTTATCAACTTTTCAAATCATTTAATGAGACAAATAGGTTTTTTATATAAAAGTCACTGCCAAAACGAATAACTGCAGTAGGTAGCAGTGTAGCACGCTGCACTAGGCGTCCCAGGGTCTGTTTTTGGGTTTCATAAATGTATTATGATTTGTTTTTTTTTTTATTGCTGTGGCATGTTTAAGTAGAGGAACTGAGTCATTTTCTATCTAAACTGAAATCTTTATTTTCTTACACKATCATATGCTTAACATATAAATATTAAATACATTGCAAAAGTTTCTTACAAGCCAAATAATTATAACGCAGATGTACCTTCTAAATGTGAAATAATTTAAATTGCTTTTAAATGGGAACTGAATCGCTATAGTTATAAATTATAATTAAAAATCAAATATTATATGATAAATGTAAATTTAATTATAATGTTCAAAAAAATATCTTTCTTCCATCATTCATTTAAAAATAATTTCTACTGAAATATGCCACCGTTTTATTGTGTAATCGAGCTGGTGAATATACATCCTTTTGGCTAATACACTATTATAATAATTAAATAGACGATCGGRGAATAGAATCAATTTTTGTTCCAGATCACCACAGCTTTCACATAGCATAATATTATTATCAATTTGTACATTTTTGAAAGTGATACAATATACATAATTGCATATTATTATAAATTTACCCACTCCGACAATTTACATGTCCACTATTATGTAGTATGKCAACGTCATAACAAATCACTAWATTGTACATATTTACAGTWARGTACATAATATTTTGTTTTAAAATGACGCAGGCGGCAGGCATCTAAATCGAATGCCATGGTACAAAAGTTGTACAGGTATCAGTGTAGCACGCTGCACTAGGCGTCCTAGGGTCTTTTTTTGGGTTTCATAAATGTATTATGATTAGGTGTTAATTTCCGGTTTCGTAAGTTCGGTACACGCGTAATGTGGTGTGTTTAATATGTAATACTAGAGTCGTCTTTAAGTTATTTGATGTTAATATTACCTAAATGTTATTGATTTATATGCAAGATGCAATAATATGCACAATGAGGTGATCGATTAAACAAAGTTAGGCGAATCTTGCAAATCGGTCGAAGTCYGTGGGTGGCACAATGTATTATAACCTAAAATATACCTGCACGACTGTGCATGATTGCATGAAACCGGTCAACTGTAGTCTGTTACCACCGTCACCGGTTATTATTACGTTATTTATTAATTATTCTATACCGAATACCATTTAGAACGGACTAATGTTATATAGACAATCGATGTAATTTATTGATTTATTGRATTTTTTATATGCAAAAGAAATGATTTATCGTAATATAATAACACAGTAATAATATTATAATATATCTATTTATATAGGTAGTTAATTTAATAACACGATATCTATGTAATATCAACCACTATATTATGTTTGTTTCAGGCTTTTGCCAGCAACAACTGAAGTCATCCAACATACAGGAAGATCCATGCAAAGCTAAAAACAAGGTGGTACCGGACGCGGCTTACTGCGATCGTTACTGGGAATGCGTGGATGGACAGCCTGAGCTATACGACTGTCCCAATGGTCTGGTTTACGCGGGCAAGAACAGGGGTGTTACTGAGGGATGCGACTACCCATGGAGGGCAGACTACTGCGATGGCAAAACTCAAGCCAGTAAGTTCATAGAACGCCCCAACGATGATAGAATATCATTATTATACAGAATAATATAGCCTGAAACATAAAGCACAAATAGTTCCAAAAGTCACATAGRTTTATGCCTGTGGTTAAGATATTATAAAGTGTGCTTTGGTAAGATAATAATAGACAAATTCATAATCAGTGTTATCGTATGATTCAATACAAATATTAGGTAGCAAATCCAATAATCGGTATGTATACGTATATTACAATGTACCTTGTATACAATAATTGAACGTTGGTACCTATCATCTTTTTTGACGATCACTAAAACTAATATAAAGTCAGTGTGTTATTTTTTGGAATTCAAAACGATCATAGAAGTTTTAAAAAAGGAGTAGAATCGGACGGACTAGAGTCACTGCTCCAGTATCGTTAAATTCGAGAGAAACGAACCAAAATCAGAGCTCGCCTATTTTTTTTAGCTGACGCTYCACCCCACCTTCGTTTTCACACACGATCTCGTGCGATTTCCACGTGTTACTACTCGTTACATAATAATACACGATTAACCCTTATCCTATGTAATGACTAATAATATATACGATCTGCGGGTCGTCACGCGCGCCGTATTTCATATAATATTCGATCCAATGGACCTCTCTGTGTAGGTGCAGCACGAATGCGATTTAATGTTAATATTATTATAATTATGTCGACCATGTTACTACGTGCTATACGGGAAGTTCGTCGTCGCGCGTAGGTGAAAGTATACTGGCGCCTGTAGCGGCCGGACGCCCACCCGGGTAGGTGAGCGATCGCCGCACGAAAACCGCAATATCCACGTCAATATAATATTATATAGTATAACTACAACAACAATAATAATACTAATAATAAACCAGCACCGATTACAATATATTATTATTATAACCGTCAACATATTTCATACAATAACACGCGCGCACGTTGTGTATTACCTATGTTGTTATTATTATTATTACTATATTATGACGATGTCAGATCGCACAATATTCTCGATCCGACAACCCGCGACCCGTGGTTTAGGATGATTGTTATTATTATATCTTATCCACAGACATATAGAACAAAYGATTAGCTAAATATTGTAGTAGGCTGCGGCATTGGACATTCATTCTTATGGATATTTGCGAGTTGCGACTTGCATACCAGTTAATATTGGTTAATGGTTATTATCACTCATCAGTCATCATAGTTAACCATATTAGTTAAATTTGGTTATAAAATATTAAGTTGACTGATACTTGTTATACACTAGAGAATAAATACTTCGAGTTTTGGCTATAACATTTGGAAAATTTTAAAAATAATGATTTAGATTTGAYGGAAGTCCATTAACTACAACTATAAGTATACTAAACCAAGAAGTAATTGCATTTTGAAAAGAAAATAACCGTAAGAGTATGTAAGTTTTATACTTTATTATACTTACCAACCGCAATAACAATCATTGATGAAAATRCTAACAGTTGTTGATAAGACTGCATAGCCATTTACTAYATTATAGCCATATAGGTATCGTGTAAACAGCTAATGACATCGCATTGAAGTAGTGTTGTGATTATTCGTCTATTGTAACTATTGTCTGCCACTTGTCCATTTGTTTTAATATAATATTAATGGTCTGCGATTAATAAACGATGAAGTTAAAAACGTCAATTGTCAATAGTATAACCGTACGTGTTTGATTTCCGTAGACGGTCCGATAGCCCGGGAACACTGCGATTGGCTGTACGGCATATTCGGTCACGAGACGTCTTGCACACGATACTGGACTTGCTGGAATAGCACGGCCACCGAACAGCTGTGCATTGGCGGTCTGCTGTACAACGAAAAAACTCACTCGTGCGACTGGCCCGAGAACGTCGAGGGATGCCAGAAACATCGTAAGTACCTGCAGTGACAATAAATAATATTATAACATTCCTCCTGACATAAGATACAAAATCATCGCCTGTAATTATATTTTATATTTCATACGCGACGTAATAGAAGCTGTGCGAATACCAATGCGAATTTGATAACAATTATACAGGTAATATTGTGCGGTAAACATGGTATACATATATTAATATAAGCGGCAAGACGACCACGGTCGCGTTCCGTATACCAGATTGGTCACGTTTTCCGGATGCGTCTTATGACTTCTTTGATCTTTCATATATACGTACCGTGTGTTTGCAGGGTAGAGCTTTCACCACGTTGRCCCAACTGGTCGCCGAACGTGGCCATTTTGTCACGGATGATATAATCACGCGAGGTGCGACGTCTGGTCGTGTGCACTACTTATAATATAATATTTAATACGGGTGTAATAATAGGTATAGCTGTTTGTACATCTGCGTGAATTTTGAGGAAATTCTATAGCGGAAAACGTTTTACAATTCAAACGCTATAACGTTTGGAACGTTTGTAAGGTTGAAATTCATAAGCACTGGGTGTTAAACCTTGTTATAAGGCATAAAAAGTTTAAAAAAAGTTAATCGTGATAATTCATGATAGTAGATGGCCCCAAAAGTATAAACAAAGTTGACCACGGCTCTGGTTAATATAGTATACCTTTACTGTTATGTTTGACGCGAGATTTTATTGATGTTGTGTCGGAGAACTAAACAAATAATACTGCTTTTACCAGTCCGGTATTATAATATGTATACCGCAGTTACTAGTTCACAGGTCTGCAGACAGCGTAGTAAGCGACATTTTTTTGATCGTTGTTTTTATTCTTTGCTGATCGAGAGGTACACGTTTCCTGACSAAATATATTGGGATTTGTAATATAATTTATAATAAAGATTAACGGTAATAACAATGCCACACTGTTRCATCACTACCGTCGAATTCGACTTTTTTTCGGTAAATACGTGATGCACGCGCGTACTTAATTTTTGCTATTTAATTTATCATCGATTGTTACCTGAAAGAGAAATACCATTTTATTTATCGATGATTATTCGACGCCGTGCTTTTTTTTTTTCCTTCTTGAAACCGGGAATGGGTGGGAACTGTATAGCACAATACTGCCGCCGCTGCAGCATATACCTACCACGAATGGTTTGGTCGACCCAAATCTATTAATCGGTATGGGTTAGGGTTAGATAATAGTCGATATACTGCAGTACTGTACGCTTATACATGATGTGCATGTCAGGTGTTTTTTATCCACGTAAAGRTATATACCGCACGATGGGATGTATCGTATTAGCGCAATTATATAATCGCTAGTTGTAGAAATAAATCAAACGGGAAAATGAAAGAGTTAAAAACCTCTCGTACACTAATTGGGCTCCACTTACAAGCCCTGYACTATAGTCAGGTCTCGTGTTAAAAATTATGCTGTATAGGTACTTTTCGAGTCTCAGAAAAGAATCATTTCCCATCCCATTTTAACAGACTTAATGAAATAAGAGTATAAGACGATAATAATTATTAATAATGTGAATTTGAATGTTTTTTTCGATTCTGAAATAATAATAAATATAGTTTGATCAGCATTTATAAAAGACAGATTTTAAAAATTCAGCCTCTCCTCGCTTTTTCTCGCTCCAATGAAATCGAATGAYGATCCTAGTAAAAATAGTTTTAAACAATATATTTACACGCTAGAAATATTAGATATTTGTTAAAAATGTATTCTCATCTGTTTACCGCAAAAAAAACAAAACAAAACA